GATATATCGTGCGTCAACGAAACACCAACACCGAAAATTAGGGCTGATATTAATAGATTTCAAGCGAGATATATTACAGTCTCGTTTACGTGATATTATACAAGATCGCTCATTCAATTTGACATCAAAGCCTAAATTTCGCTAATAAATTTAATGTCAAAAGTCCTCCATTAATGAATTTTATTCGATCGAATCGTGTTACTTTATATTGTTTTCCAACTATTTTAAAAAATTTTGCATATGCATTAAGAAAGGCTTGAATATTCAGTCTGTTTCCATATTAAAAAGTTGTTATGCCTTGTAATATTATTATTCAAGAATTTATTTATCTTCGAGTCTACTAATAAGTAACCTCGACTTTGCCCAATAAATCACAATTAATTTTTCATTCTCGTTCTTTTTCGAATTTTACTCTTTCTTACTTCGATTCGACGATACACGTCCAACGCTCATGATTTAATCTTGATCCTCGTTATTGAGAGATAAGAAAGAAAGAAACATTAGGGAAGAATATCGTGATACTACGATAGACCGGATTAATATTTGAAAGAGTCATATTAGAGCGCCTCAACCAGTATTCTAAAGGTTGAGAGTCACTATTCTGCGCTCGACGTTTATGACACGAAATTTGCTGCAGATATCCGTTTTCCTGAGGGTCGTAGAACGACGATGCTTGTCTCTAAACCTTCATCTCACTACTATGACTACGCGAAATGGAAAGCCATCTCATATTGATGGAACAATAAAACTTGGCCGCGTTTACAGAACGTGAAAAGGATTATATTCAAGTTACGATTACACGTTAATTTCAAATATACATATATATTGATATTCGAAGAAGGATGAGATATTTTCACGAGATATTATTTTTTTTTTTATGCTGTTTCTCCTTGGTAAATTAAATTACTTCTAAGATTCCAGTAGTATGATCAGTAAAACTGGCGAAACTGGCGAGTTTTTCGATCAATCCCATTTCAGAAATTGATTTCACCGGCAGCCTTGGGGAATTTATGTCTTTATACTTTCGAAGATTAAAAAACCACTGGCGTAAAGTAGGTAAACGGAAGCATTTTAATATGCGAAATAATGGAGCGGATACTTCGTTTTAATGAAGAACACGAATCTGAAATTTATACAGAAGTCGATTTATTCCGATTTCATGTGTAAATGTAATTATAAATCGAGATACGTAAAGTTCAATTCTTGTTTTATTTGTTAAAAAATGACCAATCTTTCTTATCTGAGCTGGGAAATTTCTCGATATTTTGAGACGAAGAAAAAACTTTTTTAACTCGAAAGAAAAAGATTTTTTTTTTTTTTAAAAAAAGTAGGAAGAAAGTCTCGCATTTGATGACGACGGAGCAAAGCGGTGGAAAGGAAGGATGAAAATTCTTGCTGCGCGGATTTTTGCCCGCGAAACTTGGCGATGATTGATGTCAAGGGCTCTCGTGAATTCTAGAAGCACGTTACAAATTTCGCTCGTTATCGGGCCGTCCCTCTAACAGCCGTGGAAAGCGACGTGGTTTACCATCACGTGAACAAACAGGAAGGAAAATGGCACGGATATCGTTTTGAGAGAGAAAGAGAGGAGGGGAAAAAAGATGGGTAAAAAATCAGATAACAGATCTGGGCAAAGAGAGTGGGTTGAAAAAATATGAATTATCATACGAATTAAAACATGGATAGATTTCCTTCCATTTTCAAAGTTAATTGTTCCACTTTGATAAATTAATTAAACATTTCCGGAATAATCTGCTGCGTTAAAAGGATATTCCATTCATTCGCGTAACAGTTTCATCAACAAACGCGATCGATACACTTCTATCGCTTGATATCATGAAAATTTTTGCTACCGTATAACGAAAATATATTTGCTTAATCGATTAGGAGACATTAAATTTACTCATTAATTAGGAATATCGCGGTGAAACCAATATCCATATGTTGGTTGCAGCATACGATACCTAAATTCTTCGTTAAAAGTTAATATTTATGTAACATCCTATATATAATATATGCACATTATCTAATTAAATATTTATTAATAAATGTCAATTATCACGTGTTAATAAACACGTTTTAATAAGAAATTAATTAAATAAGAATATGTAATAAATTAAACGGAATTTACAAATTTAAAATTGGAAATTGTATAAAAAGTGTCCTTCGTTCTGAAAATTTTTTTCTTCTTTTAATAATCGTTGAAACGATTCAGTTACATCGTCATGATATTACTGAATCAAAGATCACGAATGTTTATTAGTGCAAATATGAATTTTATTATGCTCTATAATACAAAGCTTTCAACGATTTCTTGTCGATGATTATTCGATGATCGATCGATAAAAAACTTATCAGAACAGTGTGAAGCGTTGACGTTGTGATTTTATGATCGTGCATGCACCCAATGATGTTGTTCTAACGTGAAATTAGTTGATCGCGCCTGTTGCTACGACACAGTTTCGGTCTGTGCACGGATGATATACCTGTTACTTCGAGCAATCATTTAGTTTAGGCTTTCGCCCACCATCTTGGATCAAAAAAGCAAAGATTGTTTTTTGAAGAATACGACTGAATATCGTCACTCATACACGCAACACTCTGTCTCTCAATAGTACATCTGACCCATATTATCTGTCGTATTTGTATTTCATTTTGTTATTTTACAGTACAAATATTTTGCAAAACATAATATAAACAACGTTTTGATTTTGAATCGAAATCAATATTATGGAAATCACATTAGTCATTAAGATTTTATTTTATCTTCTGTTCATCTTTTTATATTTAATCTCTCTTTTTCTCTTTTTCGATTTTCTTTTATTTCTTTATTCTATTCGGTTAAATTTGGAATTCATAGATGGATAGGAATCAATCGATTTATCATTCTACGTTCGAAACTTGATAATGATGTCTTATACTTTGTCCGCGATATTTGTATCGTATCGTATCTTCTTTTTCTGTGTATCTTTAACGAATGTAAAGACCGCAGTAGTATAATATCGAATAAGTCAGCCGTAAAGAAACTCGAGAAACAGCTCTCTCTCTCCTGCTATTCTACCTTCCGTGTGACAATTCGTTGAAAATTCTGTTGTGAAACTTTTTACCAATAGGTTCACCTCACTATTATAAAAAAATGTATATAAAAATATATATTGAATGGAATAATAATACAATGTGAAATATACAATACAATTATTTATTTTGATTTTTACAATTTATGTACTTTTGGAAAATCGAGATGATTTTTTATATTTGAACAACTTATAAATGCATACATATTGATTAAGAGATTGTAAACGCATAGTAGAATAATAAGCGAAAAAGGTCAGGCAAATAATCTGTGACAAAGAATTTGTTTGCGTTAAACTTTAATTACTTTAACGGTGCATTTTATTGATTGAAAACAAATAAAAAAAAAGTAGACAATAATTGAATATAGTTTTAAAAAAAGTTGAAATTTCGATATTAATACAAATATGTTGAACAACAATGTATTATTTTTCACCACGAAAATGTCTGTATTTATTTCCATGCTTCTACATCTACCACGGCATGCAAAACTCCTTTTTGCTAATGATACGAATTCCCTCCTTAATTACTTTCTACATGGAATAGAATCTTGAGAATACAATTCGCAGCTTCTTTTAATTAAACATTTGTTCAGAATGTTGAAAATCTGTCTTCCAGATATAATTACGATATTAATAATAGAGAGAAAACAAGATATTTTTGAAATTGTAAATTCGCACATTCGAATTTTCATAGCTTTCTAAAGAATACACGCCCGTACAAAGAGATATCGAAAGGACAGAAGCATTATTACTTACTCTTTCGCTTATATTTTACGACTTTGTTCGGATACTATATTAGCCTGCTCTTTGACCAAAGATTTCGCTTTTCTCCATAAAAGTCGGCTTTCTCCTCGTTTCGTATCGTACAACAAGATACATTGTAATCTTTCACGTTATCATTTCCTATTGCATCGCGTTTAGTTCTCTCCGCATTGTGAATGCACGTGAAAGAAAAAGAAAATAAAAGACATTCTAAGGGAAGAAGAAAAAAGAAAAAGGTATTCATCAAAAACTGAATACGGAAGATTGATGATTATTAAACTATCGTTAAAAAATGGAGGATGAATAGAAGCGTATTTAATCATGTAAAATTTTACATAAATGACATTAAGAACTTTTACGTACGTTGTAAATAATTTTACTTATTTTATTTTAAAAACCGAATAAGGAAGATTGATGATTATTAAACTATCGTTAAATATCGAGGGCGTGTTTAATCACGTAAAATTTTACGTAAATGACATTAAGAACTTATACGTTGTAAATATTTTACTCGTTTATTAAATATTCTGAAATTTCGTACATACACGCGCATATAAATGAGCAACGAGAGAGAAAGAGAGAGAAAGTAATAAATACACGCGAGTAGTAGAATGACAGACCGAGTCAGACATGCGCCCTCAAAGCGGGAATCGCGGCAGTGAAAGAGCTCGAGAGCAAAACCCACGTTTCAGTTTGTCGCGTGTGCTCGCTCGGCGCGCATATCGTTCGGCCAAACTCGATAAACAATGTCACGGGGAATGTCGAACATTTCGACAAGAAGAAACGCAGTCGTTTCCTCTCACGCTTCCTCGTTTGATGCGTTCCGTTTCACGTGAATTTCCAATTTAAATGGGAAAAGATGAATCCATCGTCGAGGGGAGCACAAGGGTCGGATCGAACGACGCACGAATCGCAATACCGGCAGCACCACCTTCACTTTTCGATTTATATCGAGAACACTTCAGTCAATTCATCGGCGTAAAATGCCTATGAATCGTCGAACGAATTATTAATTCTCCGGAATTCGAACTTTGCAATTTAATCATCGTCGTTGGATTCCTTCGTTCCATCTACTGCCACCGGTTTCGTTATATCCGTGTTATGGTGGAGTGTGCCCGACGTACCCGAAGTAATATTTTTCTCGATCATTTTCGTGGGAACAAGACAAAAGCGAAAATCGTAATCGGGCCGAATACACGGAGAAGCATTGTGTTCGCGGCTCTCAATCAGCTGTTCGTGCGGTTGCATCTCAACTAGATGGATCACGTGAATGCTGTTCACTCGATGTTCTCGGACTAACAAGATCTCTCTCTCTCTCTCTCTCTCTCTTTCTCTCTCTCCATGGGAGATCTAGTTTATCGTGGGATGAATATTGTCAGTGTAAAACGTTGTTCATATATATATATCTGACCGTTGTTCTGAACCGTTGTTTGCTCAAAACCGATGTTGAATGAAAAAAAAGAAAAAAAAAAAATAAAGAGGAAATAAAGATGAAATTACATATCGATATAAAACTAATTTTGAGGAATATCGTTATCTCAAAATATTGATAAACGCCAAATGTTAATAATATTCGCGACTGATAATTCCACTGTAACTGATTAAATCATATCCATGAATTAACAATGGACAAACAAAACACATGTGTTAATTATCGATGGTTGGAAGTGTAAATTAAACTGGTATTTTCGGTGTCCCTTTAATGGCCACGTAGCATAAAGCATCGCAGCATTTGCAGGCTATCGTTTAACTGTATTGTTAATTGCCTTGTGGCGATTGGCAATCAAACGGTGCTCCTTAAAGCGCAATAATGACGGAATCGCCAATACCGTCGGTCAGCAACGTTCAGACTTGTACCCATCATAGTCGAAGCCAATCTCAAATGCAAACTCAAGATGACAAGAGCGAGAAAACGGAGAAGGCTGTTCTTTCGGTAATTTAATTTTATTATCTTATTACATTTATCATTATTACGGCGTTCATTGACCGGAATATCATTAGATTCGATGATATTTCGACAAATTTATAATATTATTCCGATAATACGTATTTTCCTTTCACGACGACAAGTTGCGCGTATTACCGGTTTCGTATAAAGCAGTTCGAACGGTAAATCGTTTTGTTACGTTTAACCGTGTAATAATCGTCGATCGTGTAACAAATTGCTCGGTTTACGATCCTGGAAAGCTTAATTTCCGATTTGTGTATTATATCGAAGCACGTTCTACGCATTGTGATCGGTGCGCTTACTTTAACGTCAAACATCGGGGAAACGGGGTTAATAGAGGATTTTATTTCGCAGCAAATTCAAGAGATCAACAGCCAAGTGGCGCAATACCGCGATTTGCTGATAAACATCGGTCAACCACGAGACTGTCCGGAACTTCGAGAAAAAATTCGAAGATTGAGACGAAATTGCGTAGAAACGTGTAGACACACGTCCCAGCTTATACTGCCACAAGTACGAAGGTAGGGCGCAAACATTTTGCTACGATTTTTTCCTTCTTCTTTTTCTTTCTTTTTTCCCCGATTTCTTTTCCAAAATGAAAAGAAAGAAAAGCAGAGGGAAAAAATTTTTTTACCGTCCTTGACACGGTATTTCAAATCTTCACGGTATAAAATTTTCACGGAAGAACTGGCGTATCGATCATTATGGCCATTAAACTTGCTAATTGGCGAGTAGAGAGAAGAAGTGAGAAATTGAAGGATAAGTCAAAAGAAAATAAAAAAGGGAAAGGGGAAACCGAACGATTGATTAACCAGTTTATGTCAATTACTCGGAATCAACCATTAAACGAAGACGTGCCACACAGAGCGAACTCGAATTGCTTCCGGTTAATGGGATTCCAATTAACACGATAAATAGATTGCTATGATAGAAGCCAACCAGCCAACGATCGTATATGTTGTTAGTTTCCTGATGCGAGATAATCAAAGATTTTCTACGGCGATACTTGGAAATGCATCGTTTCAAGAAAATCTTTAAATAAAAGGTCCCTTTATTGGTCCCTGCCACGTATCCCTGGCACGTACAATTTATCAGACTTTATCGTCGTAACTTTGCATCTCAAATTACATCTTTTAATTAAATAAATAAAACGATTATTAAACGATTTTTTCGAAATCAAGTCGGTCTCCTTTGTACAATTACAATTATATAATCTTATCACGTTTTGAATCACGTCTTTAATTCCGTAACAAGGTAAGGATGGAAGGAGAATTATTAATTAATTATTGTTACACCAGTCCTTTCGTTATCAAACAACGCGTCACAGAAAAACACCATTAAGATCAGATAAAGGAAAGAGTGAAATAATAGTATCACGAGAATTTCTATTACTTTGAAGTGTGCTGCAAAGAATGTTATCGATTCTACGGAATTGGTTTTTCCAAGAAAAAAAGATAAAAGGGAAAAACGAACGATGACCATCGACCGCTCTTTAAAGATTCTTAGACGTCACCTTTGAATTTCTTTGTCTGTTTTAATGAAAAGTTAAATGTTTCGTGAATTTCTTCCTCTTTTACTTTCTCATTAATTCCTAATTCTTATAACCAGATAGATAAATCAATTGAAATTTCTTAATTGTCTATTTTTTTTTTATAAAATTGCCAGTGGTTAATCAAACGAAAATCGTTTTTCTCGTTGGATCGTATTTATTGACGAGTTATTTTTATTTAGTTCAATTCTTACCTTCAAATTATCGAGTATTGCATATTCATTTATTTTCACACAGTTATTCATTATATAATTGTTTAATTACGGTGCAGCCCTGCGTGTAAGTATACAAGACTGTCTCTTTCCTCTCTCTCTCTTCCTTTCTCTCTCCGCTTCCAACACATAGCTACATAATTTCTGTTACGTTTAAAACGTCAAACACACTCTAATTGTGATTTAAACGTTGCTTAAACGATCATTCGGTGAAAATTAAACGCATATAATTATCGAAATATCGAATAAACTTATGTAAAGATTTGACATAGTATAACACGATTAAATAAAAATCATTCCTATTCGATATCTTTATTAGCAAAAGCATTGCTAACGTACGACGAAACGCTTAAGAATATCCTGAATGTTTGATCATGCAAACAACTTTTCCAAATACGTGCGTCGTAATAGGGGATCTCGTGCAACATATCTTGCAAAATCACGCGACTTCTGTATCGATTACACGGAGCGCGACAGCACAGAAACATTTGTCTTTCTTTATTCTTTTTCTTTTTTCTTTTATAAAAATTGTTATACCCATAATTCGTCGAATACCATTCTTTTCCCAATTTCATTCGCCTCTTTGACGAACAATTTTCCATTCAAACGCTTACGTAAAAATCTATTTTAATACCAACAATGAAAACGGGTCACAAACTTTGCATAAATTATTCGATTTTAAATAATTTAATATCCTCCTAATAAATATATTCCAAAATTATTCTTAAATTATTCGAAAATTCTGAAGATTGTTTTTAGCGGTATTTTTGATGAAACAGCGGCAAAGAAATATAGCAAAGCATCAAGTTTATTCTGATAATCGTTCGTTCATATTCGCTATAATTCTTGAATACGAGAAAATTTCAGCCCGTAAAACCGTGAGCCTGAAATTGAGCGATAAGTAGTATAAACCGCGTGCAAGACAGACTCTAACGCGAAGTGTAATACGTATAAATGATCAGCCATTGGAGAGAAAGAAATTATTTTCCTCCTTCGCCTGGTTTATTAGATTTTCGCGATACTTAAAATTATGGTTCTCGAGTAGAAGTTAGCCAAGAAACACGGAGAAACCATTTGCAAAGCTGGAGAAAAGAGCTTCGTAAAAGGCTATTATACAATTTCTATGAAACTTCATAAATATCGTAATAACAAAATATTTTATCCGTGTGCGTAATTACTTTTTGTTTTAATTTTAATTACTTTTGAAATTTTATCACAGTGTGCGTATATGTATGAGTATGTATTATTTATAAAAATAGCAAAATAGACGAAAGTGTCACGCAAGAAGTATTTTCACAGCCAAAGTATTGTCTCTCCGTTTGGCTCTCTGGCCTCCAACGTGACGATTACAAAATTAAAAAATGCCAGAAAACTTTTCCTCTCCGTCGACTTGGTTAAATCTTCGTGGTTTGTTTTACGCGTGACGCCGACGCACTTCATTATGATTCTACGATCTCTCGCTTCGTCTCTCCTTTCCACGGTGAAAAAAAGGTGGGGGAGGGGGAATTCCTCATTTGATCACAAACCAACACTAACAAACAGCCTCGTTACAAAACGAATCGGTTTCACGACGCATTTACGAGAATGATATAAACGTTTTATATTCGCGGTAACAAAAAGGGATCTTAAGATAAGTCTTTAATATAACAAATTTAACTTGAATCGTGATAAAATAATTCGAAATAATAATCGAAATCCTTTGGATCTTCATTCAAAGTTCTACATTTTTATTGAATTTTCAACAAATGTGTATCAAATTCTTATAAATAATCGATAATCACGATTTGGTAAGAAGAGTAATTGGTTCGAGGGAATGTAGAATGAATTGTAGCGAAATTATAGGCAGGAAAGGCGGAGAGATGTAGGGATAAAAGGAAAAAGAAAGTGTAATAATTAAAGAAGGAAAAAAGTAGACGACGAAATGCCTAACGAGAAAACTTCGATGATAAAAAAGTAATAGGTCTGGGAATGGGTTTTGCTTTCAGAACTACGGATATCGGAATCCCTGTAGACAGTCCAAATTTGATGCTTCTCTTTTATGTCGCGCAATTGTTTCTGCGCGAGCTCTGCAAAAGTAAGAACCTCATCCGCATCGTGCCGATGGACATGACGGAGTATTACGGTAATTTTGAGAATCCTCCTATAAATATCTTATCTTAGGAATCAATCAATTTTAATTAATTAAACAAAACAATTTTAATATTAAATCTTGCCGCCTTATAAATTCATTTACAATAATCCTGCTATATTAATAATATCCGTATCGAAGTTGAAGATATCATCGAGAGAATATATGTCAGTTTTCTGGTGGAACCAATAATATTCATAGTAACGATCAACATAAATCTTTCTCTCTCTGGTTTCAGAAACTCGATCCGGCCCATCCAACATCGGCAATGTGATCTCACAAATAGTTCTCTGCAAGCAAATCACACCAGATTTCTACGAGGAAGAATTGTGCAGCATTCAAAAGGATTCCGAAGAAATTCGTGGTCTGATCAACGAGTTGCAAGAGTTTATGCCTCAATCAAGTGGTGATATAGGTACTGTCATTTTTTCTCTTTCTCTCTTCCATCCCTTTTATCGCATCTTTCCATTTCCTATCGTCTACCTCTTAGAATTTTATTTTTTCAACGATCTCATTCGATGTCCTCTATATTTTGACCCGATTTTCACAGAATGATCGAATTTACATCGTTAGTATAAAAGTTCTTGTCCCACCACGAGTACGGTTTCTTTTCAATACGGAGAAATTAAATTTTCGTAATAAACGGTAGAAAATCGAGCCACGTTTCGAATCGTACTCGAAACATAAATGTTCCCCAATGGTTAATTCGATTCTAATTTCTACTTGAACTCTTGATTATTCTATTTGCCACCCTGATATACATACACCTCCCCTTGCTTCGTTGACCTTTCTTTCTCTGGCCATCTTTCTTCCTATTCTACTATTCTCTCCCGACCTATCTATTCAACCGTCTCTAATCGGGTTACTCCAGAGGCCAAGGTCTGGATTTCAAAGGAGAACAATTCTCCCTTTCTCTCTATTCGTCTCTTTGACTGCGTCTTACCTCGTCGCGCTCGCCATTGATTCTATATAAGGAACAAACGTATTACCTTCCAACAGGATAGAGCTCGCAAACTAGAGTTATCAGGCGGTGGTTCGCTTCTCAGCTCAGTTAGTACACGGCGGCCTTAATTATCTATCGATATAATAAGCGAATTTGGATGCGTCCCCGTAGCCCATTCCCTCGGAGGAAGAGAGGGAGGGAGAAAGATAGCACGAAAATCACCACGTGTACCGCCATCTTCGATCCCGTGAACGTCGATTCGAAACTTGGTTGCTTGCTTATCAGGAGAATAACGATGCAACTAGAGAGACAAGAGGGGGGGAGGAGAAAGAGAGAGAGAGAGAGACATAGGATATTTGACATTGAACGAGAAAGAGGTCAAGGTCGATTCGAAACACGGATTTCCTTCACCGTGTGTTACGAACGGGAAATTCACGCTCGAGAAAGATCGTACCACTGTCTCCGAGGGAAAATAAGAAAAACAAGTGGAATCGTTGTATTCGTAGGTAGAATTTCGAGAAAGGACAGGTCGAGTAGCGGTGTGCACATGGCGTGTCGAGAGAATTCGTCGGGGAAACGGTGCAAAACGACGAGAGAGGAACGAGGTGGAGGGAAGCGAAGCGCGAATAAAAAGAGACGCATGGTTTATTCCCGAGCCGAAAGTAAATATATATATCTGTATGTGTACGTGTATTTATAGTAGTATTTATACAACGTGGAAGATCTTGTCGAAATGAAAACGACAACATTTTTAACAATCCTCGAAAGACGTTCGATTGATCATTTCGGGAATCTGATCAATATATATATATATATATATATATATATATACGAAT